GGGGTGAAAGCGTGGAATGGGAACATGGCATAGAGTTTTGAGTTTTGTTTCTGCTATCTCTCCTCCCCCCTGGGGAGCTCCCGTCTGCTCGGTCCCATCTCCTGTGGATGCACGAGGGAGCCAAGTAGCAACATGACCAGGTAGATAATTAATGGTAGACCAAGTAGGTAATTTATAGGGTGATGAGGCATCTAGAGGAATAACGGAGTTGTAATGCGTAGGCCTCCGCAGGGAGAGCTATCCTGGCTGAACTACTTGATTGCGTCGTGTTGTACCCTGTAAACGTCAAGCTATCTGCTGCTGGATTTGGGTTTCGTAGTAACTCGTAGTAACTTGGGTTTCGATGGCGGGTCGAGTTTCACGTTTTTTCGGTTTCAAGCTTGGCGTGTCAAACTTCAGTTCGCCTGGAACCCAGGTTTCAGGTTATTTCAAGTTATGATGGGTCTGAAGGTAGGAATTTAATCCGGTAATGATTTCGAAAGGTATCTCATGTATGAATGTATGCTGTCACCAATCGGATAAGGCGTGTAGGGTGTCAGCATTTGGTTTGCCATAGCCCGTCTTGGCACAACATAATTTCTTTCTCTTGTTTTTAGAAGACGGATGGATGGAAAATATTGACAGGAAGATGGATGGATGGAAAATATTTGAATCCAGGTAGCAAGTTGCTGTTGCACTTGCTGACCAGACGGGTCGAATAAGCACAGTTGAATGGATATGTGGATTCCCTCGCACATGCACACACATGCACGTAAATATCGTCGGGTCAAGCTACCGGGAGAACTTCCATTTGCCCTTTTCTCATCGACTGGGACAGAAAGTTTGTTGATCGTACATTAACCGTAGCAGCTTCAATGGACGAGCCTTTGGGCTGCAGACCTGCCTACTCCAAGGTTGAATGGTGGGTAAACTAGGTTTTGAAGTCTAGGGACGCGTCTCTACGCCTGCGTACGCTGTCGGACCCATTACATGTCTGGTATGGTGACGTGGCTGCGAAAGTCCTGCTTGTTTGGCTAGACTTCTGTTGCTTAATTTATGTGTTACACAACGAACACAGGTTGACAGGGCCGCAAATCTTACTTCAGACGGTTAACGCCATACATTAGGTCATGTTAGGATAGGGCAGGATCAGTGCTGGACAGTGAATATACGTGAAGTTAACAGAGCCCTCGTTTGACAGAGACTTCGGTGTCCATGGGGACCAGCATAGTGATTGCACGATGACGCTCTATAGCTAAAGTCATGAAGGTCTGAAGAGAGGCTCTTCACTTCTGAACAGCGGATGCTGGGCTCAGCAGGCTGTGCTGATATGAGCCCGGACGTCTCCGCCAGCTCGAATGCTTTCGGCAGTGAGTTCAGCGCGGTCAACTGCAGCTCATCGACAGTGGCGCAATCCGTCACGGAGGCTCCTCCTGCCGTGAGCTTCGAAAGCTGGCCCACTCAGAAGACCCGAACTAGTCCACCAAGTCATCCACCACCGTTGCCTCGGCACGCCACGCTATCGCCTGCCTGTCGGCCCTATTCCACCAAAGCGGAGCCAACGGTAATCAACGCAGGCGGTGCTCCCATCCCATGTGACGACAGCTTTGCTGCCAGGCCACCGCCTTCACACTTCCTGCGAGGACCACCCACCGCAGTCGCGCAGCTCCCGTGTACCAGCCCCCAGCTGTCACCACGTCCACATCCTCCGACTGCCCGCCTGCACGTGCCCCCCACCTTCATCTGCCCCCTCTCCCGCCGCATCATGCGCGACCCCGTCACCCCGGTACCCTGGCTCCTCCCACTACCCCTTACACACCTGCCGCAAGCGGTTGACCGCAGCAAGGGGCAGCAGGCTGGCACTGCTGCTGCTGCAACCGCTGCTGCTGCAGCCAAAACGCTTACCACTACAACCGCGGCCGCCGTTGCTGAGGCTCTGCACTTGCCTAAGAGTGTGAGCAGGTGGTATGATCGGGAGGCGATCTGCCGCTGGCTGGCATCCCAGTCCCAGTCCCAGTCCCAGTCCCAGCCGCAGCCGCAGGTCCAGCTGGTGGCTAACGTGTCCCTGCATCAGGCCATTGAGTCATGGCTGCAGCGGTGCGGACTGGACCACTGCACCGCGGATGAGCTGCTGCAGCTGGACAGCGGCCAGGGGCATGAGGCAGCGGTGGAGGAGGACGAGCGGGAGGAGCGGGAGGGGGAGCGAAGGCCAGGGGAGAGGAAGAAGGAGCAAGGACAGAGAGAGGCAGCGGCGGCTGAGGCGTCGTTGACGCTCCGGCAAGAAGAAGTTGTCGATAAAGGAAGTATGGTCCTAGAGAAGGTGGAGTCAATCGCAGGTGTGGCACCGTCGGGGCACAGCGATGTGGGATTGAGACCAGGTGGCGCCCGCAGCGCAGGAGCGGCACTTGCCCGTGCCGGCGCTGCCGGGGAGGCCGCTGCTGCCGCCGCAGCGAATACTCATCTGACAACACATTCCAGCGGCAGAAACATCATTACCCGTGGCGAGCCGGTACCTGCAGCAGCAGCATTAGCATCGATGACAACATCAGTAACAGCACAAGCACCGGAGGTGGTGGCTGTGGCAGCAGCAATGCAGTCGCACCCAGCAGCGGCAGCATCAGCGGCGGCGGCGGTGGCGGGAAGTGGGCTTCTCGACGGCGGCGTCAGTGGTGGCGGCACGTCGCGTGCGGTGCTGGTAGCGACGCCGGCAGCACCGCTGTCGGCTCCGCCGTCCTCCTACCCAGGTATTGCACCGTCCATTGCGCGCGCTGCTGTGATTGAAGTTGCGGCGCCTGTGGTGACGACAGCGGCGGCGACGGCGACGGCAGGGGTGAGAGCACCAGCAGCGGGCAGCCCTGCGTCCGCAGCCGGCTTGGCGCGCGCTGAAGCGACCGGGATTATTGTTCCGCAGATGATGATATCCGCTGCTTTTGCCAGCGACTATACCTCCGCTGCTACTGCCGCTGCTGCGGCTACAGCGACGGCAGCATCGAGTGCGACGGCAACGCTCTGCGGCATTCAACCCTCTTTACATGTTCGTTCCTCCGCTGCGTGCAGCCTGGCGGTGTGCAGCAGTAGCACCCTCGGACGCCGCAGCAGCAACGGCAGCGGCACTGGCGGCGGCGGCGTCGGCGGCGGCTGTTCCTGGCCATGGACGGGAACCTCGTTGTATCAGCACCATGCGTTGAATAAGCTGCCCGGCGGAGCTGCTGCACGTGTTGGCGCAGCCGCCGCCACCGCGGCCGCCGGTGGCGGCGGCGGCGGCAGCAGTGCTGCTGCTGTATTGAATCTGATGGGCGCATGGGGGCAGGCTGGTCGGGCATCGTGCCAGTACGACACCGTTCAAGCGCCTGTGGGGCCAGCGCCATGGCTGCCGCCATCATCTCCATCCCGGTTAGCGATACGGTCACCTCAACGTCAGCCGCCGCCGCCGTCCACGCGGGCTCTGACGCCGTGTGCACTGCCGCCATCTGGTCATTATTCGCAGCAAGAGCAGCAGGAGGACCAGCAACGTCACCACTCGCAACCGCTACCGTCACCGCGGCAGCAGCAACAGCAGCAAGAGCAGCACCAGCAGCATTCACCATCGTCGTTGCCGCTGCAGCAGCTACAGCCTCGCTCGCAGCCGCATCTCCGAGTCTCACGAGACCGGGTCCCCGGGCCGCAGACTACAACGCCGCCCCCGCCGATGACGACGACGCAGCAGCAGCTGCAGCTGCCGCCGAACCACTCGGGCCGACTGCTCACTTCGGCCGACGCAGCGCACAGCTTGCGAGGGGCAGCTGCAGCAAAGGCAGTGGCAAGGGAAGCAGCAGCAGCAGCAGGATGGGCAGCTCTGAGCGGAACCCAGGGACCGTATGTTGCCATGTCGCACCAGCGCCAGCAACAACAACAAGAGCCTCAGCACCGGCAGCAACAGCAACAGTCTCAGCACCGGCAGCAGCGGCTGCTCCGACAGGATGAGCAGCGGGAGGTCGGCCGCCGGCACCGACAGCGCCCCGGTCAGTGTCGCAGCCAGAGCCCCGGCCGCCATCCTGCAGACTGCCGTCAGTACCGCACCCGCTGCGGTTATTGCTCCAACAATGCGGTAGGAGAAGGAAACGTTCATACGAGCAGCAACAGCACCGCCGCCGCTGGCGGCCGCCGTGGATCGGATAAGGCATGGAAAGGACACCAGAACGAGGAAGGGGAGCAGAGCGAGAAGGGGACTACGAGGTCGCGGCTGTGGTCGGGGCTGTTGGCTGGGGCGCTCAGCGCCCTCCGCCTGCCCGCCCAGCTTCTCGGGTTTTGGAGCGGCGGCAGCGGAGGCAGCAGCCCGCTGATGCCGCCATGGAGCGACCCGGCGGCCATGTGGCTCGCCAGCGCCGTGGGGGGAGATGCCAGCAGCGGCAGCAAGGCGGCTGTGGCTTGCGTCGGTCGCATTGGCAGCGGCAGCGGGAGGCGCGGCGGCGCAGCCGCCGCCGCTGCCTCCGCCTCCGCCGACAACAGCAATGATAACAGTGGGATTGACGTCGACAATGTGCGCGGAGGAGAGGGCATTGGACGGCATCCTGGTCCGCTCACGTGTTCGCGTCACCAGGAGGACCTTGGCGGCGGTCGACATGACAGCGACGGTGGTGACGATGGGGAATCGGAGCTGTCGTTGCCGCTGTCGCGGCAGCGCCGGCCGCCGCCAGGGCCGTCGGAGCTGCCGCTGGAGCTGCCGCTGCCGCTGCAGTGGCTGACGGCTAACCAGTTGGCGGATTGCGGACTGAGCCCGCGAGATGAGGTGCAGGCGGCGCGGCGGTGCAGGGAGCGGCTGTGGCGGTGGCTGCGGGAACTGCCGCCGCCGGCGTGTCAGGATCTGCTCACCTTGCTGCGGTGCACCCCGCCACCTCCGGTACCTGCGCGCCGGAACACAAGGGCGGTACGTGTGGGCGCCAGGACGCAGGAACTTTCGAGAATGGCACACACGGGTGTCTATACCCAGGGGGCGGGGGAGCTGCATGCAACTAAGGATAATTGTATTGTGGGTATCCGTGTCGCGTGTCACTCGTCTTGTTTGTGTTGTCTTGCCCTGCACTTTATTACTCCACAGTCATAATGCTTACCCGCCCAGTTCGCGCGGAGGAGCTTGTGCTTTTGTGTGTGTGTGTATCGCACCGGGGTTTTTTTAAGTCCGCACCTACCTACCATTCCCCCCCCACCCCGCAGGCTGTTCGGTTGCGGCTCTTCCCCGCGGGCTCCCACCTACCGCACCGCATTGCTGCGCTGGCGCTGCTACCGCCGCCCGCTGCGCCGCCGTCACCTCTGCCGTACAATTTTGCTGCGGATTACGAAAGGTACGTAGCTGCATCCCCAGCCGCGGCATCATTCGCCGCCGCTGCTGGGGGCAGCGGCGGTGCTCCACCAACACTGTCGCCGCCGCCGCGACCGACCCGTGGGCCATTCGCAGTAATGATGACTCGGGACCGTCCAGGGCACGTGGTGGTGGAGGAGATTCCACCCACCACCACCACCACCACCACCGCCAGCAGCGGCAGTAGCAGCTGTTGTTGGATGGTGCCTGCAGTTCACGGCCTCGTGACTGTGGTGGCCGCATGTCCCCGCGGGGGTTCATTAGCGGTGGGAACCACGGCCGGCCTGGTGTTTGTCTGGCGGTGCTTTAGTGGGGAGGAGCTTCAAGCGGTGGGGGACGTGCGGGAAATGGAGGAGGCGAGGAAGCCGACGAAGCTGCTGCAGCAGCAGCAGCAGGAGGAAGAGGTCCCGGCTGAGGGGAAATCTGCATCGCGACGCTCGGCGGCAGCGGGGAGCACCGGTAGCGGCGACGGCGGCGGCGCTGCCGCTGTTGGTCAGAGGAGGATCAGCTCCGTCGAAGCGCCGGTGGTGTCGGCGTCTTCTGCATTGGAGTGGCATCTGTGCGCGCGGCTGGGGTGGCGTGAGGACGTGTTGCGATCCGGCGGGACGGCTGGGGAGGCGACGGCGGCGGCGGTGGCGGCGGCGGCGACGGCAGGGGAGCCTGTGGGAGGAGGATCCCGGAGTTCAACCTTACACGGCGGCGGCGAGCAGGTGCGTGCGGCGGTCTACGCGTCTGCGTGATTGGGCGCACATGGGCGGATGGCGCAGTGTGCGTAGAGACAGCCGGATATGCATATGTCCTTTTGCCGCCTTGTGCACCAGCTTCTGACCTGTCACTGTCTTCCTAATCCCGCGGCTCTTACTGTACGGTAATTTTTCTTTTGCTTTCTCCTTGCTTTCGTTCGAGGCTGCAGACCGGCAAAGGTGGCGTCGGCGGCTGTGACCGCAGCGTCACGGCGGTGGCGTACGATGGTACGGGTGCTGCGCTGTTCGCAGCATGCCGTGGCGTGGTGGCGGGCTGGAAGCTACGGCACTTTGAGCAGCCTGAACGTGGGTCGTGGGTCCTGGGGTGGGTGGGGTGGGTTGGGTGGGGTGGGTTGGGTGGACGACCCACATCCCCAGAAGGGCCCCATGCAAAGCCCAGGCCTGACATAGAGCCCCCGCACACAGCAAAGAGAGAGGGTGCCAACAGAGAGCATATCGAGATTACAGTGACCTCTCTCTTTGCGCTGTGCGGGGGCTCTGTGTCAGGCCCGGGCTTCGCATGGCCCCCTACTGCCGACCCCGTCATGTGATCACGTGGCGCGGATGTGTGGATGGTCGTGATGGCTGAACAAAGCAGTGAGGAGTGGATCTCACTACTTGGCGTTACTCGTCCTGCCCAGCCTTGCCGACGTCCTAGTGCCCTGTCTGCGCCACCCATGTGCCGTTTGCAACGTTCGCAACGGCTCTCCGGAAGAGACAGAGCCTTATTCTGATCACCAGCAGCGCAATGATTGAACATCCCTCCCCCCCTCCCCCTCCCCACCCCCATGTTTCTATTGTCGCCGCACAAAGCATCGCAACGCAACGCAACCAGGTGTTGGGAATGGGTTGACGGGTTGACGGCATCCCCCGCCACCTCCGCCGCGTTGGCTTCCGCAGGTCTTCCCTTCGTGGTCACCGCCGCCTTTCTGGTGCTGACGCCGGAGGACTACGGCTGCCGCTTCGGGGCTCTACAGAAGAGTGGCAGTACCGGCGGCGGCAGCAGCGGCAGTAGCTCTTGGTTCGGCAGCGGCAGTAGCGGCGGGAGTAGTAGTGGCGGCGGCGGCGGCGGTGGCAGCGGAGAGCTCGGCCAGTCAGTCGACGGGGGCGGAATGTACGCTTCGTGCCACAGCAGCAGCAGCAGCAGCAGTAGCAGCTTAACCACGGCCATAAACTGGCGGGACAGCAGTAGCAGTCATAGTATGCGGGGGCAGCCTTGTGTAGGCAGAGATGAGGGCTCTCCGGAGAGTGGGGTGCTGTGCCGGCCGACGGCAGCTACCGCCGCGCCGTCGGCTGCTGCTGCTGCTGCTGCTAGTGGCGCGGCCGCGACATACGCGCTCGACACGGCGTTCAAACCCTCCGCTATCCCCGCTTATTCGCTTTCTCGCTCGCCCTCCTCAACAGCCGCGGGAGCGGTGGCGCCGCCACGGGGCACGGATACCTCTATGACGGCGGCCGGCATCGCCGCGACTATTGCCGCCGCGGCTGTCGGGTCAGGTACGGCACTGTATGGCACTACTTCCTCAATCCGCTTCTTTGATTTGGCTTCTGGTTTCCTCCAAAAAGGGTCTCGGGCGGCTCCTGAGGGCTCGACTCGATCAGCCTCATTACCTGCTCCTTCGTCCAGCGCATCTACAGATCCATGCGCTCCTTTGCTGTCGTACAACAAGTCCACGCTGCCAGCACTGCCGTACCAGCAGCAGCACCATCACGGCCATCACCCGACGGTGTGCTGTCTGGCTGCCTCGCCTAGCGGAGCTCACCTGGCATTTGCGCTGTACGACGGTGCCGTACACCTGGCGCTGCATGCGGATTCCCCTTGTCGTATTGCATGTGTACGGCTGCTGCCGCCGGGTCCGCAGCCGGCGCTGGCGGCGGCGGGGCAGCCGCTGCCCGGTTTGGCGGCTCAGGTGGCCTTCAGTCCCGACGAGCGGCGACTGCTGGCGTTGACGCTGGGGCAGGGTCCTACGAATGCGTGGCGGCAGCGGAGCTACGGAGCAGCTGCCGCCGTTGCCGCCGCCGCCACCGCGACGGCGCCGTCACGGGGTAGCGGTCGTGGAGAGGTTGCGGAGGAGGAATCTCGGGCCGTCCGGTATTCCCTACACTGCTTTCCGTTGACGGGAGAACTGTCCGAGCCGGAGACGGATGAAGGCGATGGGGACGTGGAGCTTCCGTTGGAGGATACGGCAGCAGCGGCGGCAGCAATAGGAGCTGCACGCGCTGCGGCGACGACACAGCTCGACGGGTGCGGTAGGGGTGCCGTCCACGCCCCCGCCGGCTCGCGTGGGGGATTCCAAGTAAGGTGCGTGTATGCGGATTTGGACACGGACGATGACCCATGGGTCAGTGACCGCGGGGAGGAGGAGGAGCCCGAGGGGGAATGGAGCGGAGATGAGGACGACGACGACGGCGAGGTTAACGTTACTGAAGCTCGGGATGACAGCGATGACGATGTGGATGCTAACGACGAGGGTAATTTCGGCAGTGGTGAAGCTATGGTCGAGCATGTGGCGAAGGACTTTGGTTTCGCGGCACGAGCAGCGCCGCGCAGGCGAGGACGCGTTGAGGGGAGCGCCGCCGCGGCGGTGGCGAGAGCGACGGTAACTTCGGCAGCGGCGTCGCCACGGCAGGGTGCAGGTGTGTGTGAGCAGAAGGAGGGCGTCGCGGGAGGCGGCGGCGGCAGGCGCTTCGGTGGCGGTGGCGACGGCGGCTGCCGACCCAGTTGCAGTCGGGGTGGATACATCGAGGCTCCGGGTTATCTCAGCGGCGGCGGCGGCGGCGGTCGTGGTGGTTACGGAGGAGGCGACGGACACGGAGGCTTGGGCCGGCGGCGGCGGGAGCGCAGCAGGCGGTGCGATCGACGAGGTGGCCGTGGTGCTCCAGTGGCAGCTGGCAGTGGAGGTGGCGGCGGTGGTGGAGGTGGCGGCGGTGGTGGCGGTGGTGGAGGTGGCGGTAGATGTTACGGGGAGGTGGTTCTCGGTGGTCTGCGGGTGGCGCCTCAATGCAGCGGCTGTGGGCCCAGGTGGGTGCGCGCCCGTTATTCTGTCTGTTTGTTCGTTATTCTGTCTGTCTGTCTGTCTCTGTGGACGGTCGGTGCCTCTCTCCATGTCTGTTTGTCTGTCTGAGCACGACATGAAGATGTTTTGGCTCACCCCCCTCACATGCCCCCTCTTGGTCGCCCCGTGTCTTCACCTGCGGCACCGGAACCCGGGGGGATGCGTACACAGGGCCTCAGGGATTCGTGCCTCTCACTCTGGACTTGCCGGTCCCATTCCCATCTGCGATACCTCCTCCGCCCCCTTTCCGGCCCCCCCCCTTCCGCCTCACTTCCCCCCCCCCCCGCCCCTCCTTCCCGGGACTGCCACAAGGCTAACCAGTCTGGTGGTGGCGCCCGACGGCAGCTCAGCCCTGCTGCTGGACCGAGGCTCTTCCCCAGGGGGGCACTGCCGTACTCAACACCGTCGACACAAGCTGCCAAACCACCAGCACCTGCACCGAAGCCAGCCGCCGTCGCAGCCCCAGCAGCACTTGGTGTTTGTAGATCTGGCACTAGGCCGGGCTTGGCGAGTAGCTTTGGAGCCGCAACCCTGTGACTCCCTCCACTGCCCTCACCACTACCACCACCGGCACAAGGAGCTCAGGAGGGGCCCTATGGGAGAGGAAGATGAGCGGCCGCGGCCATTTCCGCCGCCCCAGGAGCGGCAGCAGCAGCAGCTGTACGGATCCATGGCTTTGTTGCCCGGCGGGAGAGAGCTGTTGGTGGGGGGAGACCGGGGATTGATGCGCTGGAGGTTCGGGATGTAGGAGGGTTGGGGTGGGGGGACGGGGGGACGGGGGGCTGGGACAAGAATAAAACACATTGGGGGTATTAGGGGTATTGGGTGAATCGGAACATGCGCCATCGTGGGGGTGAGGGGGGCTTGGGGTGCCGTATGGGCTATGTCCGCTTTAGAGTTTGTGGGGTGTGCCTTTACGGGCTCTGTTTGTCTGTCTGGCAGAGTACTTGAATGCGAAGTGCGGAGGAGCTTTGGGGATTTCTTGCCTCTGCCGTATGCCGTTACATTGTATTGTATACCGTACATTGACTCCGTAGCCGCTGCCACCGGGAACCATTATAATGTCCCCGTGGGGGTGCGGCGTGTTTGAGGTTATTTGCTCATCGAGTTGAATTGTCGGTTTTGTGGGGAGCACATACTGTTTGCGGTCTGGTGGTGGTAGTGGCGCTGATCGAATTGGTGTTATTGTTAAAGAAATGGCAACATTTGTTGTGTATCCGCAGTAGCGGTGGTAAGAGCATTGGCATTTAGCAATCGCAGGGGGGTCACTTGGCAGTAGCATTGGGGGGGGGGCTTCAAACAAAATTGCTACAAAACAAAACCATGTTGTGCACACGCAAACACATACACGTATATATCTTATATTATACACCCTACATGTGGCAGGATGGTGAGGTATTTGTATGGGGAGGTGGGGAGTAAAGGAAGGAGGATCCGGGGGGGGGGGCCGGGCAGATTGAGATGAGCAGCAGCAGCAGCAGCAGTAGCGGCTGCGGCGACATTCGAGTAGTATGTAGGCCGCAGTACTGTGCCACAATGTGGAATCTGCTTAATGTGTATGTATGTATGTATGTATGTATGTATGTATGTATGTATGTATGTATGTATGTATGTATGTATGTATGTATGTGTGTGTATGGGTTGTTTCACAGAGCCTTTGGCTTTGCCCTAGCTGAGACTTGTGGACTCGCTCTAGCGGGACCTGAGAGCCCTTCGTGGTGTTTTCACTGCAGCGCCATCCCCGGATGGAGGGGCTGCGGAGTGGCTGCGTAGAGTGTTGGCAGTCTGATTCGGGGTCGGGAGCACACAAGACTAACCGACTTGTGCTGTGTGCTCCCGACCCTTGCGCTGTGTTTCGGCTTCGGCCCCCGGCTCTCGCGGCCCACAGTGTAATTTAAGTCATGTATGTATGTATGGATGAATGTATGCCATGTGTGAGCGCTAACAGAGCTTGTAGCTGTAGCAGCAACAGAAAGCGAGTGACGGAATATTCCTGGTGGTGGTGATGGTGGTGGTGGCGGTGGCGGTGGTGGTAGCCCAGCGGTGCGGCTGGGGCGTGTTGTGTGGTGTCATTGTCCCTTGGTAGGTAGGTAGTTAGGTAGGTAGGTAGGCAGGTAGGTAGGTAGGTAGGTAGGTAGGCACAGATGTGCTAGACCTACCTTGATGACGTGTATGCCCGACCTCGTGATAGACTAGCTGGCAGGCAGCACCGCACCCCGCAGGCAGTGTGCAGTACTGCGAAAGCAAGGCAGACGGTTGGGCTAAGTGGCGGTGCTTTACACGCAATGCTGAAATGTCTCAACGCAAAGTGCAAAAAGGTTTTCATTATCAAAGCAGACTCACCTTACATACATGGCAGGCGGCTGGCAGAGGTTAAGGCCTGACCTCTGCTCCCGGAGTGTTCGGGTTCAAACCCGTCTGCCGACCTCTCGGGTGTGTGAGAGGTGTTGAAATGGGAGGTGGCTCCCCATCTTATGGACGGTGTAGGACGTGACAAAATCAACTTGCGAGCTGACCAGGAACTATGTTAAGGCGCCGTTGATCCGTTGGTTGGATGCTGGTGGTGAGTTGTTGAACCCAACGAATACATTCTGAAGTCGGATGGGGTGAGCGGATTAGGGTGCCCCTCTCGCAGGGGAGAGCAGGGAACTGCCTCCACGGGAAAGGGGGCCGCTGGTGAAGCTATACCATACATACGTACGTACATGCTGTGTTGGCTGCAGTTTGGTATGGTGGTGGTGGCATGGTGGTGTGTGCACAGGTCTTTATGGGCAGTAGTACACACACACGGGCAAATCTCAGCAGGATTAGCCGGGGGGGGGGGCAGCCGGGGCCAAGAGCCCCTTGGCGGGGTGTGTGTGGGGAGCTAGGGTGAGAGTTGCAGGGTAAGGGTGAGGATGCTGTGTGCCGCCCGCTGTGTGCCCGGTGGATTGGACGTTCTGATCAGCGGCGTCAGACATCCGTGGCATTGCACCGGGGACAGACCTCCAGGCAGGTAGGTAGACCTCCAGGGGTGATACAGCCGGGTATGCGGGTAACTGCTGCTGCTGCTGTGGCGGTGATGGCGGTGCTGTTCTTGTTGTTGTTGTTGTTGTTGTCGTGGTGGTGGTGGTGGTGGTGGTGGTGGTGGTGGTGGTGGTGGTGGTGGTGGTGGTGGTGGTGGTGGTGGTGGTGGTGGTGATGCGTGTCGGGGGGTACCTAGACATGTACTTGTAACTTCTTGCGCCCGAGTGCACCGAGTTTGTGAGCTAGGGGCCGCCTGCCCCTCATCTAAAGACACACGTTAGTCTAACGTGAACCATTTTTTGTGGACTGCATGTGTGCGTGATGGAGCTATTTCCCCGACAGCCGGCAGCCCGCCCGGCTGCTGTTGCCGCTGCTGCTGCTGCTTCCCGTTGTGCAGCTCACATGTTCTATCTTTGGTTGTCCAATCTTTGTCACATTATAATGGTTTGCTGGTCAAGCAGAGCGGTGTCGTATGTATATAGGAGCGTGTCTTAGTGATCTAAGCCAATTTAAGAGAGAGAGAGAGAGAGAGTGTGTGTGTGTGTGTGTGTGTGTAATTAATGTCCATTAGTCCACGTGTGTATGTGAGTGTATTTGCGCATGTGAGCAGCTTCGTATGCAGGATTGCGTGTATTGCGGGTGCACTGTGCTCCGTCAGCCTTTCCCTGTATGGAAGCGTGCTTGCTGTGGGTTGTGCTGTGGCCAGGTGCGTGTGGAGTGTGCAGTGGTAAGAGCTTTACATGAGAGCGATCAATAGCGGCTATTTAATTGCCTGAGAGGATGAACAATGCAGCAGTGCGCGGGGTATGACCAGGGGTAATATGTGAGGTGGTTGTCCTGCGGTGGTTACTGCAGTTGCTACTGCCGTATATTGTACTGTACAGATCCTCAGCTGGTGGCTTGATGGTGGCTTTACTGTGGTTTTACTGAAGGGCAATAATAGCAAAATCAGGATGCAGGCTGCCAGAGTATTTTGTTACCACACTGCTGATTCTGATTGGATTTTGTTGTAAAGATTTATAGGTTGTATAAATTTATAAATGCGTACTTATGTCCTATAGCCTTCATGGCTTGCTGTACGGTTGCGTTCGAGGTGCCGGATAGGACAGGGCGTGGCGGAACTTGGGCTGCCAAGCTGGGGCCTTACACGTCTGCAGAGAGAAGAGATAGCAGGAGGGGGCCCCTCCTGGCGGCCCATAGCTCAGGCGAGGCCCAGGTTGCGCGTGGTGTCCGGTGCTGCATCGTCTTCAAGCCGGGTGTATTAGTTGCACCATTGCGTCCGTCCTCCTGCGGCCATATGGGTCTTGCCGGCCTCTTCAGATACCCCTCTGGCCGCTGCCGCGCTGTTTCCCCCGATGCGCATGGAGTGCGGCATGATTCCGCGCTTGATACCCATGGTGCTGCACGTGGCAGCGAAGCTTCTCCCGGAAAGAGGTATAGCTGAGGCTGCGGATGGGTAGCTCTCTCCCTGTCAAGCCTGCTGGGCAAGCCACGCCCCCTACACGTGCAATCTGCACGGTCTGCCCTTTGCTCTCCTGGTCCGTTTTGGGCCTGGGCTGTGTAATTGCCATGCGAGTGTCGTGCAGGGTGAGCAGGTCGTACTTGACGGAGATGTGGGCTAGGTTGAACCTCGGGAAACCCGCGAACATGACCGATATGGGCGCTACCATCATCAGGTCTGGCGGTGATGCATCCGGCCCAGCGAAGTGAGCGGCCAACATGCGGACGTGCTCTGGTTGCATGCTTTCCTTGTGCAACTTCTTCCCTTGCAGCAGTGTGCGCCTGCCCAGGTCCCGAACGAGGTTGCGTGCTGGGTACTCCGTGGGGGGGGGCCGGCCTGCAAGAAAGAAGCGACAGGCAATAGCAGCACTCGCCCCCGCCACACGGCCTGGGCCGACCTCATCCGCTTTGCACGGTTTGGTAGACAATACATCAGTTGCATAGCCACTATCTCTGGCCTGATATGGGAAATGTGCAGTCAGCTCTGTCCAATCCAGGAAGTCCCGCCATGGTTCCTTGTACTGGGTGACCGTGCTGCTAGCGCGCGCCTTGTGCACCTGGCTTGCCAATGCCAGAGCTGGGGGTGGGCGTGGATCTGATCGTGGGACCCCCGACTTGCACGTTTCGCCAATGCGCCTTCCATGTCACCCTTATCTATGGACTCTGGTTTGAACTCCTGCTTAATGAAGTTGTGCTGCCTGTCATGCAAGATCTCGTAGGGGGCCGTGAAGTTACCGTTCACTCCGGGGCCTGCCTTGCCCTGAGCCACGGAGTAGCACTAGCACTTCAGGCGGCGGTGAGCAATCTTGAGGCATTGGCCCCCCGCGATGGCCAGCTGGGGTTCGTTCGCCTCCAGCGCGGTGATGGCGGTCTCGAGGAGCATGGAGGAGCGTTCCTTCATCAAGCTGCTCATGCTGCTTGTGTGGGGCTGTGTGAGAGCTTTGGGGCGTCGTTCGCCTGGACGTCGGTCCTTACCACGGCGAGCTGCGCCCTTGTGGATGGCAGCATGTTGATGTCGTTTATGATGACCACTTCCGGAGACTTAGGGTTTTGTGACGAGGCTCCGGTGGTGCTGTCCGGGGATGGTCCCTAGCTGACACTTTCTGGGCGTTGGCCTGTACGGCAGCTGACAGGACACCTGGCAACAGCTGCTGCGCTGCAGAGTAGGCCTGGTCTACATTCCTGTCGCGGGGAAAACTACCGATTAGTGAACGAAGAGAGGCTAGATGTCACATTACGGTATACACATATCAATTACAAATATGCGTGAAGTGCTCGACCAGCATCTCAAGAGGCCTTTTCAGCGAGGCCAGCTACCACAGATGTTATCAAGGATGTAAGTAATCAAGTAATTAAAAAGTAACCACCACCCAGGTGGAAGTCCATACATGCAGGAGAATGGGCGGGGGTCATAGTAGCACAGGTTACGGCTGAGACACTGGTCCCAGGTTTTAGAAGCCCCATCATCGATTGGAAGCATGTATGGGCCAGCACTGCGCCATTCCAGGACAGGCTGTACGACTCATGAGATGGCTGCATCCCCCCGCTATTTACGCGGACAGTATTCTTCCGATTGGTGTCTTTCGATGCCGCCATCTGGCTGTGTTCTGGTTAAGTTACAACAGGATGATCGAGTAGCTCTATATAGCTATAGCTATGGATGGTTGCCGGGACCACAGATTACATTTGGATCCTGCTTCACTGCTGCTTATCAGTTGAAACCCTTGCCTGTCTGCCCTACATACGTACGACTCCACAGCTGTCTGTAGTCATATACTGGTGCATGGACAACTAAATAATTCTGCATGCATGGTGCCCAGCCTGACTGTTGTGACAGAACTCCCTGGCCCCATTCCTGGCCCCATGTACATGTACACACACATAGGGCCCGGGGGGCACCCAGGTGTTGCAAGGACCCCGGGTGCGCAGCCGCGCCTGATCAGCCGCGCCTGATCAAGGTGCAGTCTGCGCGGGAGGGACTTCGCTGCAGCACGGGCTGAGAGAGGTTGTTGTGTGTACGTATGTATGTAGGTACTATGGTGCGCACATATGCAGCTACCAGCAGTGTTACAGCAGGACGGAGTGATGCATGCATGCGACGAGGGGGTGATACACATCTGTGGGGAGCTTTCCAGTCGATTACTTGTGCGGGTAGATACCGGCGGCACGTCTAGTAGTAGTGAATTGAGTGGATTAGTTCACTTCGACTTGGATGGCAACGTTCTGCTAGGCAATTCTGCTGGGACTCTGTGGATGGTAACAGACAAGCTAGCGCAGGTACGATGATTTCGGTAGCTCGTGTTCTTTTACCAATTATGATTAGTGAATTAAAGGCCTGGGGACCTCCGAAGCGCCGAACGTTTGAAGAAGGTTAAGTTCCTACCGTTGACGTGGCGGTTGCGCAACGGCCATGACCTAACAAGCTTTACCGGAGGGACGGTGCATGGTGAACCTGTCAGCTGTCGCTAGACTGGACATACCTACTAGCCATGCTGCTATACCAACGACAAAAGCGTATACATTAACATTAATCGACTACCTGACCATGGCGTCAGCGAAATTTACGAACAGTTCAACGCATAAACAAGTCCTCAAAGCTTCTGCGCTTGGTATAATTTTAGGTCTCCTCGTATTTCCATACTCCAGTGCATCTAGAAACGGTCTTGGGGACCTTCGGCTTCGCGCAAGCCGGCGTGTTCAGGAAGGCAGAGCTGCAGGAACATCCAAACATTTGTATTGCAAGCAGTCAGGTAAATTAATTTTCTCCGCAAATTATTTGCATAAGGGCGTTATCCATCACCTCGGTGAAGTACACGCGTTCGGCGCTCGTCAGACTGTTGGACTTTTTTTCCCAGGTGTATGCTCGCAATGTCAGGAGAGCGAAGCGATAGAGCGCTACTGCGCTGACACGGGCTTCAAGGAACTGCTGCACTGCACGACCGACGAAAGCCACCAGGCTACTTTCTCGGTGAGCACGTGTCTGCACACGTCCCTATGGCGATGCACGCTGGGCGACGCATTCTGCGTCACCCACCGCCTCTCACCCCCCCCGAAGTAGAGGTCTCAAGAGGGTCTTCCCCCCGGGTGGAGGGGGAAAGGAAGGCGCCCAAGGGAAAACGCACTTGCCTTGGTTCGACTGCACCGTTGTCGTGCTGCTGCTACGTCCTGCTCCATCCCTGAACAACAGCAGTAGCAGTAGCCATAAAACATAGCCTAACCCCCCCCACACACACACGTCCGCGTCTCCCCCGTCACCCGACACATCCCCCCCACACCCCAACGCAATTTCAAGCTCAGCCCTGTGACCCCTTGCTTCAATACCCACACAAACAGGGCTAGTGTGCATGACATGACATTTGACATGGCATGACTGAATGATGCCATTATGTTTTGGCGCCTGCCGTCCCTGCCTCCCGCCCAAAACCTCCCAACCCCTGGGACACGACTAGCTGGTCCTGACGTACCCCTACCCGCCTGACGTACACATCGTGGACGAGCGTGACGAGGGCCCGCGGGGCACCGGTCACCCCGGCGGTGGCGGCGGCGGCGGCGGTGCCCTCTGGGTGGTCCGCAGCTGCACAGAGAAGACGGTGGAGGCGCACCAGGAGGCGCTGCGGGCAAACGTGGAGGTAGCGGGTGGGGCACTGTCCCGGATGCCGCTGTTCAAATTTGAATTGGCCATGTGCGGCCTGCTGGGGCTGTCACTACCCGTTGTGTACTGGCGCAAGATCCGGATTCGGCATTTGTGAGGCCCATGCATGTATGTATGTATGTGCGTGTGCATGTGACAATCACATTTGGTGACAACTGCGGTAGGGGGGGCCATCTGGGGGGGGTTTAAGAAGAAGGGGCCTCATATGCGGAAGGTACTAGGGGGGCCGGGCGCTGTAAGAGACGCGTCTGAGAGAAAAGACCGCAAGACCTGCCAGGTGGGGAAGGAGGGACCGCAAGTGGTGGTGGTCTGAGAGGGCGCTGTGCCGTGTGGAGAGCAGGCCGCGATGTGGGTCGGAGTGGGGTGGGGTGGAGTGGAAGGCGGGCGGTAGCGGGTGGCAGCAACGGGCTGAGCGCTGAAGGGGGTGTTAGGGAAGGAGGAGCTGCCGTTGCGTTTGCTGTGAGCCACCCAAGAGATGATGTGGGTTAACGGTAACGGTAGCGGTAACGACCACAACGGAGGGAGATAAAGACGACGGGTGACGGACGTCCTATTGAATGGCATGAGTTTATGTTTCCTCACGCATGTGTCTCTCTCTCTCTGTGTGTGTGTGTGTGTGTGTGGATGTGTACCTCAATTTTTATAATGAGGAGGAAAAGGAGGTCCGAGAAGCAGCGGTATAAGTCCTCTGAAATAGAGAGCTCTAAAGTCTCCTTGCCTCTTCAAACATCCAAAGGTAAAGCAAATGCCGCCGCGCCACCGCAGCCGTCTTGACAAGACGGCGATATTTCACCCCTACCCGGTCAAAACCCAGACACCGCACATCCACTTCCCCCCTCAACACCCACCCCCGGGCCCCGGACAACATCGTACACTGGCACTGCCGACCGCGCGCCATGTTCTTCAGTCAATACCATCACCAATTTCACATCCAAATACACCCGACCTCTCACCTCCCTCATTTCAAACCCCCTCCGCCTTTAGCAGTGGCACTTCGCTCGTCAGAAACCTGTACGTATGTAAAACCTGTATGTATGTAGTCAATTGTAAAAGTGATAGAACACGAAGCCGCGTAAAACTAGGGCTGGCTTGCTGACTACGCGGCAGTTACCGTTAGCTCACTAACCGACAGGATAACCGACACATACACCACAATCATCAGCTACACCCCCATCATCCCCCCCCCCCCCACACACCTACCTACCCACCCACCTAGCCAAACACAGGATCCAAAACAGTGACATGCTGCCGTACAAGGTACGGCCTAAACTGGGCAGATGCACCATACAAACAAACATACATACGGACGCACGCACACGCACACGCATATACACCCTACTCACGGCGGCCCTTGCCTTCTCCAGCCACCCTGGCTGCCCTCCGGCTTCGACTGGCCCCTCGCCGTACAATACCACTCCTTCCCACAAATTCCCCCCGTCCACACACACCCCAAACACACACAACAACACCACATCATAATCCGCCTCACTGCCGTGGCTCCTACAAAAGTAAAATCCAGTACACTTCACTAGAGCGCCGTACATTGCGCCGTACATTCATTCGATTTTCAGTTGCAGTACAGCAAGATCTTGGCATCCGCTCCCGCAGTAAATATCCAGGGCTGGTTGGGGTGGAAGGCGCAGTCCAGCACCCCCTCACTGCGGACCACCGAGTGGTCCCCGCGCAAGATCTTGACGGGGACGATGAGCGGGTTGGTCAGCAAGTCGCCGTACACCATGCCGTAAAACACCTGTGAGCGGGTGGTGGCGGCGTGGCGGTGGGGGGTGGGGAGGAGGATCAAGACGAACCACTGATGATTGAACGTTGGGAAGGGGAGAGGGTAAGGATGGGTAAGGAGGCGAGGGGGGGTCGGGGGAGAGGGAGAATCGCAGTGGGGAGTGGGGAGGTTGCGGTAGGTGACACGGCTCCCTGCAGAAAACGCACAAATGGGGATGAAAAGAGCGACGAAAAGGAAGAGGGGGCCCTAAGTGGTCTCTGACTGGGTGGTAGCACACGGCGGAGCTATGTGGCGGTGGTGTGGGAGATGAAGTACGGGATTGAAGGGGCTGCGGAGGGCAAAGCTGGCGGCTATGGTGGTGGCGGTGGTCTGTCAGCATAAGGGCCGCAGCGGCGCTGGGCCCTCCCCCCTCCCTGTGTTCGTCGTTCCCCTCCACCTCCCGACGGTGCCCATAGAATAAAACCCATCCCCTTCCCAACCCCCATGTCGCCTAACACCCCCCACCACTGCCTCCCCAACACACACATGCACACATACATGCACACATACATACACACATACATACACACACACGCACAAACCTGCACGGTGCCGTCGTCGGAGCTGCTCGCGAAGAGGGGGTAGGAGCGGTGGAAGGCTACAGAGCGGGGGGCCTGCTGGTGGTACCTGTATGCATGTATGTATGTATGTGAGTTGCGGGGAATGGGAAAGGGGAGGGGGGGAGAAGAGGGCGGGGGGGGGAGACGGCTCAACAGAAAGGACAGCCGCGGGAAGAACTGGAGCCTCGGAGGGGGGAAACGGGGGAGACTCCGGGTTTTAGGGTTTTTTACGAGCCACGCAGTAAAATGGGACCGGTCGAATAAAACTCTAAAACCGCACTGCACCCGGAAAATGCACGGATGCGGGCCGTGTGGCCGGTGGGCGCCAACACATACACACACACATTTCCGCATAGGGCCTGGACCAGGCTGTATACCAGATGGTGGTTGGATAACGAAACCGGGCGGCGGCAGGACTCGCAAGGATAGGGTGGCGCTATTGGCGCACCGGTGTGGGTGGAGTGCAGCCATTGGTAGATCGCGCAGCTGTAGAGCATGCGCTTTCGGTGGAAGGTAGGTTGCTGGGCATCTGAGCTGATGTGTGTGTGTGTGTGTGTGTGTGTAGCTGGCTAGAGGATTCGAACAGGTGACGGCGCCTTGCGTTGATGAGGGAGAACGGTTTTAGGACTCATACACCGATACACCGCCCTTCTTATGACGGAGTGCTTCGACGGTGGTTCCCGTTGGGGTATACGGTTATGTGACCCCGGATCAATATGTCACATACACACATACACACACGTTTCCCCCCTTTCGCGGACCTTCTTCCCCCCTCTATCCGGGCGTGTAGCCCGCCAACCCCCCTACCCTAAAACACCCAACCCCCCGTATATGCTACACCGGGCAAGACTCCATTCCTCCTTTTTCACCTGAGCGCCTTGTACGGCTTCGTGGAGAGGTCCATGTCGTACCAGGCCACCCGCTTGTCGTCACTGCCCACCAGCACGTGATCCCCGCTGGGATGTACGGCAAGGCAGCTGATGGATCCACCTCCCCCCAGCAGCTTCTTGGCAAGAGCCTGCTTGGCGAGGTTGTACACCCGTACCTGTACGACAGCAAGGGACGAGGAAATGCTACGTCATCAGTCACGGCTCGTCCTCTTTATTGTCCGAAAGGCATTTCCCCGTGCGTGTGCGTGCGTGCCTGTGTGTTTTGTGTGTTTCAAACATCCAACGTATCGCATCCCTACATTCCCCACCATATACCTCCTCTCCTTCGCCCCCAAACCCAAACCCAAATCCCCTCACCTCCCGTTTCCCCCCCCTCACCCCCTCACCCCAAACCCCCACGTACGTGGTTTTGTGTCGCCACGAAGAAGAAGGGTTTGGAGGGGTGGAAGGCCACCCGCACCACCCGCCCCCGGTTCTTACGGAACGGGTTCTGGGATGCCCTCTTACTCAGCTGGTGTACGACAACTGCCTGTAGACAGGGGGGGGGGTTGGGGGGGGGGAAAGGCGAGGGGGTGCAACAGATGATGTTGATAATGATGATGATGATGATGATGATGATGATGATGCAGTAAGAGGCCGCCACGGGCGGTATGTGCCGCGACGCAGGGGCCCTAAGCGACCGGCCAAGACGGGGTTCGATGCAACAACAGGGGGAAGGAGGGCTCGGGCAGTGTACGGCATCATTTACGCTATCAGAATTCACAATTACAGCAGCATACAACCTTTTGCTACCATCCGAACCACATACATACATACTTACACGCGCAGGTTCTCCTCGCGCATCACAAACAACATCATAATATACACCCCCGTATACATACACACACACGTACGGCAAAACACATACCTGTGTGTTCCCCGCCGGTGCCACACTCGCAAAGTAGTCGCCCCGGGAGTGCCAGCTCAGCGACTTGACCGGGAACCTCAGTCGTATCTCCAGCCCTCCGCCAACTGCCGACCCACGGGACCGCCACACGGCCAACTCGCCTGGAGATGGCTCGGGACCGACCCCTGGGTCAGTGGCGCCCTGGTCATCGGCGCCATGTCGTCCGCTAGTGCTCGCAACCTGATGCAAAATGATGAAGAGACAGCGGCGGAGAGGATGGGGGAGAGGAAAGGGAGTTGTAGAGGCCAAATCGCGAGATGCAAAATGCCAAAGGAAACACGGCACAAACGCCGTGAGAGGGTTGGTTCTGCTTGGTGCAAGACCCCTCACCCCCATCACGCCACCCTCATTCCCCCCCCAACCCCCACGACCCAACCCCGCCCCCAGCCCATACCCCCGCACCTGCAGCACCTGCGCCGCCGCCTCCTCCGCCTCCTCCGCCCCCGTGCCGCTGCCCACCAGCACCACACTGCTACCCACCACACCGCTGACCAGCCGGAGAGCCGGGTTGGGGCACCAAGACACGGCCGCAACGGGGCCCGCACCCAACTGCCATGTGCGCCAACAACGACCTGTACGGACCTGTACGACATGGAAAGGGAGGAAAAGTGTGTGTATATCCACATATTTTCCCATCAACCGGGGCGAGGGAAAGCGTGCCTTTGTACGAACAACCTCACATCAATCCCACAAACAACACCAAAAGATCGTACACTCGCAAAAAAAATCCCAATACACAAACAGCACACACGCGGGGACACGATCCTCACCTCCTCTACCCCCCCGGGGTTTCTCCTCCCACCCCCCCAACCCCCCACCCACCCCACCCACCCACTCCCCCAGCACCCCCCTCACCTCCCACAGCCTCATGGTTCCGTCCTGGCCCCCACTGAGCAGCCATTGACCGTCCCATGGGTCGGCGGCAATGGAGGTCACCGGGCCCACATGGCCCTCGTACGTGACCGCCAGGGTGGTGGG